TTTGATCGGGCGAAAATCGCGTTTCACCGCCACGAGAGCTATGTTGGACTCCGCAACTATAGAGCAGTTAGGGCTTAAAGAATCCGATATTAGAAACCCAGCGATTTCTTCCACGTATCGTAACTCTAAGTTGCTGAAGCCGAACCAGGCGGTGCTGGAAGCTCAAGCTAGGGTTTGCACTGGACCCATGCAGACCAGACCGCTCTCTGAGGAGCAGGCGTTTAAGGTCATGGACACCATTTTAAGATCAGGTCAAATGTTCGTTACTCCATTTCTCTTATAACTATAACCTTTTTTTTTAGAATTATTTTCTCAGAACTTAAATCGTCTCAAAGTTAATACAAATTATTAAGTTTAATTAATTTATTGAATAAGGCTGCTTAGGGATATGCATTTGTCAAATTTTCTTGGACTTGGGAATCTGCTCGAAAGTGATCTATTAGAACTTGAAAGTTTGAAAATAGATGTAGCTTGGTCAAATCTTACAGGCGACGATGATTTGACGTCTGTCTTGAAGGTTGTGAATTACAAAGGAATTAGTTTTATTCTATGGCTGAAGTTAGTTAGGTATTGTTTTGCGTATGTTGACAGTTAGGGGAGAACTAAAAGATGAAGAACAAGTCTCCAAAGCACAGCTTGGAGCATTCTTCGCTGGAATGACAATCCGTGCAAATGCCTTCCCTGAAGCGACTCAATGGAGTGAAGGAGAAAGGCATGCAATGAACATATTTTGGCCGCTTCTGGTACGAGCACTACCACCTGATGTGATCTTCATTGCTGATCCTGAAGGATCTATAATGGGACTAGGAAGTTCGATAGGGCCACAGTTTGTTGGGAATGGCACAAGTGAAATGAGATTGGTTGGTGCACTTAGAGAAATTTTGGCAGGAGGTCACCTTGGATATGAGGAAGTTCAAGGTGTTCTCAGAGATGTTCTTCCATTGAAATTGGAAGATGGCAAATCCACTGGAGTAAGTGAATCATTGCTTTCAGCATTCTTAATTGGGCAACGCATGAACAGGGAAACGGATCGGGAACTTAAAGCATACTGCCTTGCATTTGATGATGAACTTGGTATGTGATTTACATTTTTAGTTTATTTTTTTAGAACTTGTCAGAATGATGTATTGCAAGCGATTGAGTAATATCAGCCAAATGAAATTTATTATCTTCTGATTAATCTATTGAGCAATCAACAGGTCCTGCTCCAGTTGCTGAGGTTAGATCGTTAACCCATTATGGTGAACCTTATGATGGAAACACACGTTACTTTAGGAGCACATTGTTTGTTGCTGCAGTTAGATCCTGTTACGGTGAATCTTCCTTGCTTCATGGTGTGGAATGGATGCCACCTAAGGTAAGTTCTCGGTTTGCTTATGGCACGTGAATCATTTTCTTTATTATGATTAATCCTGGGAAACGAAAAAGAAGCTGTTAATGTTACAACTGCTGCGATTCATCTTCTAAATAGCCAAAATTGTTCTGAATTTCAAAATACTAAATTGCCAATGCTTGTAATGTTTTGCACTCTCATTGCTCCTAATGTTTCATCGAACATAAGGAATTGTTCCTTTCCTCAGGGGGGTGTAACTGAAGAACAAATGCTTAAGTTTATGGGAGCAAACACAAACTTATCCTTACATCAAACAAGAGACCTCATTGAGGTTGGCTCACACTTACTCTTCTTCCTCTCTCCCTGCCCCCTCCCTCCTTCCTTTTTCTCTTTCCTTGTTGAAACTTTTAAAATTGATATTACAGGATGAGGAGGTTGGTTTTGCTTACGTAAGTCAACGTGAAGCTCGCCCATCTCTGTATGGAATCTAACCGAATATATCTGTTGTATTTCTTTTTCTTTCTCATTTTTTGTTCCCTGTTGCCCTTAAAAAAGGGGAAAAAAAGGAAAAAGAAGTTGGAAATAAAAATGGATACGGGTTCAAAATACTTACTCTTAACATTTGAATCCAATTTCAAGTCCAAAGTGTTTCACCTGAAAATCAGACTAAAAACTAGTCTGTACTTCTAACCAATATTTTAAGCGTCCATCAATGTCAACTGCCAAGTAAATTTTATTTCAGATAATATCTTCTCCTTTCATGGTTTATGATGATGCATACTGTGTTCAGAAACTTGGTGCCTTTTATATTATGCTATCTAGGCTCCTTTGAATGAAGTCCTATAGTTATGATCTTGCTCCAGTTGAAACCCCTAGCACCTAAGACAAAGATCTCATTAACATTGATTATACTTGGGTCATAATTCCACATTTTTTTTCTTCTTTGGTCTCATAATTTTAGACGTAATTATACACTTAATTTAAGAACTGTATTAATTAATGGTCTATTTGTTTGAAATTGGTTTTCTTATTCTGAAACATAAACATTATCGAATTGGAAAAAAAATGGTCTGTTTCTTATTCCACATTAATAAATGTTCATTTTTGCTTTCCTTTCATGTGTGTAATGTGTCTAGGAACTTGGTACCTCTTATGTTATGCTACTGTGGCTCCTTTGAATGAAGTCCTTTATAATATTGTACTCTGGTTGAAAGCCTGAGCACCTAAGACATTGATCTTATTAAGGTTGATTGTTCTTGGTTTATAATTCCATGTCTTTTTTCTTCTCCGTTCTCTAAATTTTAGATGTAATTGTATACTTAATTTAACAACTGTGTTAATTAATGGTCTATTTGGTCGAAGTTGGTTTTCTTATTCTGAAGCATAACATAATTGAATTGGAAACTGTAATATTTTGGGTTTTCAGTGAAAGGGTTGGACTTGATTTTATATTCTAGTGTATCATGGGTGTAACCATTTATGTTTATTTCCTACAAATAAAATGAAGCAGGTAAGAATCTTTTATGCTTTTCACAGATATTCATTGATTGGATTGAGGGAGCAAATAAAGAAACGCCCACCACTGGCAACAACTGAAAAGGTTCAGCAATTTATTAGGGTGAGCATTTATGTGGATAGCAATGTTAGTTGTGTTAGTTTAATATTGTACATATTATGTATATATGCATGGATGGATGTATATGTTGTGGTTGCTTTTTAAGGATGCTTAATCTAGCTAAAAGTTTGCTTAGCATCTTGTGCAAAGAAATCATATTCTATACTACTTATATTCTATGCAAGTTTAAAGTATTCCTAAATTAGACTGGTGTGCTTATTTCAACAAGGATGTTTCTCTAACAGGCAAAGGGAAGGGAATCAATTGTTGCTGGATTTTATCATGAAGCTTATGAGGAGCCCTTGTTAATGCTTATGAAAAGAAGAGGTGTGCATTCTGGTTTGGTAGTGAAGGTTAGAGCTTTACCTTTATGCAACAACAACAAAACAAGCAGAGCCCTTTTCAACTACTTGGCGTTGGCTTTGTTGACAACTTCACCTTTAGAATATAAGTTATCTTTGAAATTGTTTTGGTTAAGGGGTAATAAAATAACATAGGATTTACATTTTACAATATTCAAGATACTTTTTAATTCAGTTTAAATTCAGAAAAATCAACAAGTAATCTGAAGAAAACATTTAATGTTAGACTGCTCTTGTTGAAGGGTGAAGAAGGTGCCCTCTCAATGACAACTAGGTTGCGATCAGCAAACGCATCAAAAGGACTTCCTGTGAACTATTGTTCAGGTTTTCGTTCAGTAGGCATGGAATCAGCTTTTGAAGTGGATGGTTCGTATTTAACTGCATCTTCTCTAATCCACTCTAACAGTTATAAATTCCTATTTTCGGTGTATTGAAAAGTTCTGTGATATTTACAGAATGAAGATTGTTCCCGGAATTTTTATGCATCCAATATCCTAACATTGCAGGTGTATCACGTCAGAGTTTCAGGCTTGAGGTTAATGCTACAGACTATGGTTTTGAACCAACTGATACTCCAAGAACTGATAGATCGGTAAAATTTAGAAAATCCTTTGCTATATGGTCTTGGTCATTCTCTGCCTGTCTAGTTGTTCCGGCGCTATTGAGTGATGCACTTGCAGGATGCTTCCCAATTCCTTACCTATTAGCTTGCTGCTTTATTTAGTAGTAAAGTTGTTGGTGGACTATTGAATTATATACTTTGTACTTCCAAACTGACACCCTAAGAAAGTTATAATTCCTGATTTTCTGGAAGAAAAAAAATTCAGCCTCCCCCGTTTGCAACCACCGGTAAGGTGGAGAAGAAAAGACTCTTTTCTTTTGTCTCTGTTTGTTATTTTGAAACCCATGGTCATTTGACTATGTTTGCTGCAATACCAGGTATCAAAGAATATAGAGTTGGGTTTGGCAGCTCTTCACGGCCAAAAAGGGGCGGCATATGATCGAATTGTTTTCAATGCTGGAATTGTGGATCATTTACTAGGATGTGAAGGTGCAGAGGACGTATCCTTAGCTCTGGATAGAGCCAGAGAAGCCATTGACACTGGTAAGGCTCTTAAGAGGCTTCTAAATTACATAAAGATGTCGCACAAGTTCAAATGAGCCGGTATGAAGCAGTGCTTGCTGCTTTTTTATTTTTGTAGATCAGTGTTGTAAAATTAGTAAAAGTTGTTAAAAGAGGAAAAGAGAGAAAGTTTGGTCTAACAGATTTTCTTTTCATCTGTTTTTCATAGCATTAACGTTTTGTTCTGTGTAAAACTAGTTCAAAATCCAGTGTCATTGATTAATTCTTTGCATCTGACATTAGTGTTTTTTTTACCGTGCAAAGACATTGACATTGGTTTGGCACTTAAAAAAGCATGGATTGATGGAGTTACATTTACAGGTTTAGCATGAACCATCATAAAATAGTCTTGAAAAACAGCATTTATTCCACCAAACAAAGCAAAAGTTGCTAAAACTGTAAATATGAAAAACCTCGCTAGAAAAATTCTGCTTACGAAAGAGGTTCTGATCGCATTATTTTTCTATAAACAAATGACTTAAAATCACTCGATGCAATGAATGATTTGTTAGTGGCTTTTGAAGTGTTCTCATATCTGAAGGGCAGCTGCTATCGAACCAGCAAGGCTAAGAATTTCAAATGGAGGTTTGCCCATCACCTCTTTCACTGTCTGAGGGCAAGAATCAGTAATCCAGAAGTAGGTTAACCCAGTCTCAGGATGCCCTACATAATTTGAGAATATCAGCCAGTAGAATTGATTAAACTAAATTCAGAAACTGCAGAAAGCTGCCAACCACAGTAACAATTCTGTAGCTCACTGTACCATGAATGACGTCTTGTAAATGGTAATTCTAGGAGATACTAGGATTATCACATGTTAATAAGTAATAATTCAAGTTGAGTCATTTTAGTTTATGGAAATTCATTTTTCTGAACACTATTCCTCCGTAAAAATTTGGGGCTCAAGCTTTCCTAAAGGCAATGTGTTTGAGAGAGGAAGTCATCACCAAAAGGAAATGCGTTTCTTGTCCTTTTTTATATAAAAAATTTGCAGGAAATGAGACTTCCAAAATGCCACAGAGCATATAGGTGCATGGGGTACCTCCATTATCATGTTCAAAGCGTTGCCACGATCTGTTGGGGAAAATTCCATGTGTCACATAGGCACTTATTTTTGCTGCCCCATTGGCTGCTAATACTCTCTGAAAGACGAGGACATAGTGGAATGTTAAGAACAGAATTGCAGACTTTACAATCCACAAAGAAGAATTCATTTTGCCTCTTGCAGAGATAAGGATTTAAACAAGAGGTAGGATGTTGGTACAATAACTCGAAAGAATGAGTTAATAGGAAATCTTATTTAGGAGTTACATACCTGGCATTCAATTAGAGTGCCACCAGATTGAACCAAATCATCAACAATGACAACATGCCGTCCTGCAGCTTCTCCCTCCTTGATACGTACAATTCGTTGGTCTCCTATCCGAACTTTATTACAAACAATCTGGTAACCGAATCAAGAAAGTTATGCCAGCATCCATCTGCAATAACAAGTTTTTGAGCAGTACGAATGCAAGAGATATGCACAGTGAAGAAGAAAGACCTAGGTCACATCCATAAAAGGAAGAAGAAATCGTAGTCGCATATAATCCCTCTATACATGTGGTGTCACTTATATAGGATTCTTCTTCTCCCATCAATTGAAAGAAAACTTCCAGATAATATCCATCCATTTATAAAGTCCACTGAAACACGTAAGAACATCAGAGAACAAATGGTAATGGAATACTACCTCCTTCAATAACCTGCTGTTTGTATATCAAAATGAGCTACAAACCAGATATCATGAAGAACAACATAGGACAGAAAACTGAACCACAACATTCAAACTTATGTACTTATATCCTCATCACTATAACGTTGGGCCAGGAACTTAAAATCTTGGGTCACTCAAACAAATTATTTAGATTGTGCATTTACCACTAGCCTGATACTCTAGACAGAAGCACAGCACGGTTGTACCATTTTAGAGTGGACAGGATACATTCCAAGTAAGAAACATGAACCACTCTCCTCTTTGACAAGATCAATGCTTGCCCACAGAGGCCCGACTGCATAGGTTTCAAATGTATTAAAAAAGACCCCTTGGGCCTTTTCTTCCATCTCCGGCATGATTCTCCCTAAATGTAAGTATGCTGTTACTCAATGTGCCATTCGAAGTGGTCAAATCAATTAGTTCATGTTTACAACCTAAATCACTAACTTTTAGCTTATTTGCGAAAAATGCTTTATAGTTAAAATTAAGTATAAAAAGTGTAAGAAATGCAAAATGATTCACTAGTGAAAACACACAATGAAATTCAACATTGAGGGCTAATTACTTGATGAATGAATCAATATTGTATGATAAGCACAACTACAAGTGATGTAGAGCGTCCTTGTTTGTTAGGCAGATGTTATATACCGTTGGAAAATGTTGCAGCTGCTTATGAAATCTTTTCCACGCACCATCATCAGGGAAAGCAATGGATATCTGAAAATTGAAGAAAATTATAGCAGATTATTAGAAATTAAAAATAGTTTGAACTTTTAAGTAATTTCTCTTTTCAACATACAGATTAACCAATACAATAATCCAAATTAATTTTAATGAAGAACAAAAATCTCTAAAAGGATTGATTTTGGATCAACTAGCTGAAATATGACTGAAAGACTCAATAACCTTTTCCCAATATGAGAACTTTCAAAAGTGCAGAAATAATCATACCAGATAACCACAAAAATTACTGTTTCTTCATTCCCGAGAAATCTTAATTTGAGGTTTCATTACGACATCATTCAATCAACAAATAAAAAATTTCACAAACAATGACTATCATTTGCCCCTAAAAGAAGACATAAACACACAAAAAGGGTATAATCTTACATTGTCAGAGTCAGGGAGCTGTTGGAGCCTACTCTTAAGCAAAGGTATCCCACTCTCAAAGCAAGGCAATATATTATCACCAAAGTAGAATCTCTCCTGAGGAAACACAAAAACAAGTCAAAACCTTTTCAAGAAACCATTACAAAAATAATAAACAAAATTATAATTATAATTATATATATATATATATATATGAAAAAAACTGAACCTGCAAAGCATGGATATCGAATGTCACTAAGCTGGTAGGCCCCCCTCTGGAAGTCGGTATATTAGACAATATCCTAGCAAGAGTAAAAGCCGTCGCCACATCTCCTTCGTCCTCCATTCGCTCGGAAGTTCCGGTAGGGAAAAACGGGAGAACTAGCGTGAAGGAGGAAACGAACAGTTTCGGCAATGCATAGATTATCGATAACTGCTCGAAAATCAGTCCCGGCGAACTAAATGAGGCTAAAAAGGCTACATTTTTTCCTCGAATTCCGTGTGCATTTGGTATAAATAAGTTAGGAAATCCATCTTCAAATGTCCTAAAACAAAATATACTTGATTAAAACTTAATTAGTCATGCATAATCCCAAAAACGTTGACATTAACTTAACATTTGAATAGATTAATTACCGCCAGTTGATGGCGCGGAGCTCAATGGCATCTGACTCAGCAGCAATTCTCTCGGCGAGCGCTTTGGTTTCGGCGCAGTAAAAGAGGCAGACATTTTTGACGGTTTTAAGGGCGGAATCGGAGGCCATTGAGATCGAAGAAGAAGGAGAATTCTGGATCAAATGGATCGGTTGCGTTCCGGGGAGGAACTCAACGTTCCAATTCGGAGGTTGATTTTCAAAACTCTTAATCTGACACCGAAAACGACTGCATTTCTTGTCGTTTAACAAAATCGAAAATTGTTTAAAGAAAGTGAAACGGGAGAGGATCTTTTTTCGGGTTAGGAAAGAGGAAGGAAATGGTGTCGGCCTGGTCGCCATAGCAGTGGTCACAGCGTTATGTAGGAATCTGGGAGGGGTGACGCTGATTTTTCTCGTTCTCTGTCGCTGAAGCCTGAATGATAGTACCTTACTATCGTGGAATTTGTTTTGAGCGTCGTTTTGAGTTGTTGGGGTTGTTAGATTTCTGTCGGTTAAAAGAATAAAGGGGTGGGTGAGTTGACTGCTGGTTCGATGGATGATTTTTTTGGATTTCCATAAATGCCCCCACGCCGTTAAAATGGCACGTTTTGGGTGCGTGTAAATGTAACCCATGGAAAATTTAGTTAAAATCTTTTTTTTTTTTGAGAAATTATTGTGATTTTATTTATCCAAAAGTACAGGTGACACTAGATTGTATAGTAAATGTTAGCTTTTTTTTTTTATAAATTTTATTTTGATTTTGATATTGAAAATTGAAACAATCGAAATGAAATTTAAACTTTTTTTTGGAGAAAATAACAATTGACGTATTCATGTGTATAAATTCCGTGCTAAAATCATAAGCTCAAACATTTATAAATTAAAAAGTACATATATAAATTTTTTTTAAAATTTATAATTACTTTTGATGCTTTTTTCTTTCATTTTTTTGGAATCGTGATTGTACTTATCCGATTTTCGTTAACACTAATGAAGTTCGGCTAAATTATGATGAAAATTGAAAGATTTGAGTAAATTTTAATTATTTATTTTTTGTGATGAGGGGAAATAAAGAGACATGAATCACATGGAAATAATATGGAAACCTGTAGTTTGGAGAAATATAGCAAATGCATATCTAGATAAACGAAGTAACCATCTTAGCTTGAAATATTTTATCTATAATTATTTTACCCTAATTTTATAATTATTTTAAGAATTATGTAAGAATCTATTGTCATATATAAATATGAATTTTATATAAAATTTTGAAAAATTTTACATAATTTTAAAATTATAATAAATTAATTATAAAATAATAATTATAAATCATCAAAATTGCATTATCTATAGTCTATAGACATGCCTAATGCGACAAAAGTAACCAAATTGTTGCACTTGACATTTACTTTGGGAGTAAAGTAAGCCCTCAACTCAACTATAGTTGATGGGCTTACATCTCTCGCTTTTGAAGGGCTGATAGTTGATCTAGCTTGGTGTTTACTGTAATAAACATCTTTTTTATTTACCCATATACCCTTTTCCAATTTTGATGATTTATTGATCGGATCCATTAAACCTAGCTCTGAATCTAATTAGTTGATATATATATGGTCTTGATTCGTAAAGTATTTTCACTCTCTCTGGCCTTTACCCTAGGGTTCTTGGCAGAAGTTAGTAAGAAATTGAAAATGCAAAAGTTTTTTATAAGGAAAACTCAACCTTTATGGTTTTTATTAAACTTGACTTGACTTACATCAAATGTTAAATATTTGTATATAGATTCAAATTGTGAAGGAGAAATATTTATCCTTAAGTCAATTATTAATAAGTGAAGAGATTTAATTTGAATGTAAGATTATAAATAATATCCAAAACTTAATAAATATAAGATAATATCATTAAACAAACCTTATCACATACAAATAAAAAATACAAAAGTTTACCAATGACAAACTATCACATAGAGATAAAAAACTTAGGAGTTTATTATATGATAACACCACTAAGCAAACTTTATTACGTAAATCTACCATATGATAAACTCAAAAGGGATAACATGCAAAAATAAGATAATAGAACTAGTTTCTCATAGCATATTAAATATCTAACTTAAAATAAATTAGCAATAATTGAAAAGCTCAACTTAAATATAAGTGCACAAATTGAAGAAGAAGAAAATGATGAAAACTTTATTGTAATATGAGATAACACCACTTTAATAGACTCACATCACGTATAGGCAGAGATGGAAGAAGTTTATCACGTGACAGATTTGAAAAAAATAACAAAAGAAAATCCTAGCTCTGATACTATATTCAGTATCCAACTTAAAACCAATTGGCACAAGTGAAGGGACCCAACTTGAATATAAGAGTACAGAAATTATATATTTATTAGATGTGAGATAACACTACTTTAATAGGCCCTTATCATGTATAGGTGGAGATGAAAGAAACCTATTACATAACAGATTTGAAAAGGGTAATAGAAAAAAAAATCTTGGCTTTGATACAAGCAACTCAAAATTAAATAATAAATGTGGAATAACATTATTTAACACATATCTCTTAACTATAAAATATGATCTCAATCCTAAAGATTAAATATCCAATGGTAAACTTTAAATAATAAAATCACAACTAGATAAAATACTAGCTTAAAGAATAAATGAAAAAATTACTAGAAAAATATTAAATAATCTAATAAATCGAGTTAGTAACCGATTTGCATGCTACCATCCTTCCCTTATCATGCTTGGCTACCAGATTCATATAAAAAAGCAAACAAATTGATCAAGAATAATGGACATGGTCATATATATTTTTATCCAAAAGTTGTCATTTTTTTTTGTCAAATATACATCATGTACAAAGATGAAAGAGAATTAACAAAGTGTTTGGTTGGAGATCCGAGATGCAAAATGATAAAGCTTTAGGTGTTTAATTATATGGTAATGGTAGGGGTGTTGGTGAATATTCATGCTTTGCAAAATGAATCCTTGAAGAGCTTAGTTCAAGAATGTGATGGTGGCTTTGATATATACTTTGGTTGCTTTTAGGATTCGTTTTGAAACAAATTTCCTCTCCTTGCCATTGCATTTTTAAATCAACTGATGAGAAGCAGCTTTCTCATTAATCATCCTTGCTCACAATTGGAACCTAACTGATATGTTCTAACTTTCGTATAGCTTCTGAACCTACTTTCGAATGAATGAAAAATGACAAAGAATACTACTACTACTACTTATTATTATTATTATTATTATTATTATTATTATTATTTTGGCCAATAATAATACTACTTAATTAGAGATAGTTTTAAAACAGTGCTTAGTATCTTAATACACTACTTTTTATTTAGAAACTTTAATTAACTAGCAGGAAAATTTGTAGCAGAAATGGATGGAATTTTAAATCTATAAAATAAATTAAAGCTATCCCTAGCTTCTTAACCTTATAATTTACAGGCCACATCATTATTATATTTAAAAATAATTGTAGAGGTAATTTAGTAATATACAAATAATCTATACTAAGAATACATAAATTATATGTTTATTAGATGTAAGATAACACTACTTTAATAGGCTCTTATCACGTGTAAGTGGAGATGAAAGAAACTTATTACATAATAGATTTGAAAAGGGTAATAGAAAAAAAAATCTTGACTTTGATACAAGCAACTCAAAATTAAATAATAAATACGAAATAATATTATTTAACATATGTCTCTTAACTATGAAATATGATCTCGATCCTAAATATTAAATATCTAATGGTAAATTTTAAATAATAAAATCATAACTAGATAAAATGCTAGTTTAAAGAATAAATGAAACAATTACTAGAAAAATATTAAGTAATCCAATAAATCGAGTTAGTAACCGATTTGCATGCTACCATCATTCCCTTATCATGGTCGGCTACCTGGATCCATATAAAAAAGCAAACAAATTGATCAAGAATAATGGAAATGGTCATATATATTTTTATCCAAAAGTTGTCATGTTTTTTTTTTTTTTTTTTTGTCAAATATGCATTATGTACAAAGATGAAGAAGAATTAACAAAGTGTTTGGTTGAGGATTCGAGATGCAAAATGATAAAACTCTAGGTGTTTAATTATATGGTAATGGTAGGGGTGTTGGTGAATATTCATGTTTTGCAAAATGAATCCTTGAAGAGCTTAATTCGGGAATGTGATGGTGGCTTTGATATATACTTTGGTTGCTTTTAGGATTCAATTTTGAAACAAATTCCTTTCCTTGCCGTTGCATTCTCAAATCAACTAATGAAAAGCAGCTTTCTCATTAATCATCCCTGCTCACAATTGGAACCTAACTGATATGGTCTAACTTCCGCATAGCTTCAGAACCTACTTTCGAATGAATGAAAAATGACAAAGAATACTACTTATTATTATTATTATTATTATTATTATTATTATTTGGCCAATAACAATACTACTTAATTAGAGACAGTTCTAAAACAGTGATTAGAAACTTTAATTAACTAGTAAGAAAATTTGTAGTAGAAATGGATAAAATGTTAAATCTATAAAATAAATTAAAGCTATCCTTAGCTTCTTAACCTTATAATTTATTGGCCACATCATTATTATATTTAAAAATAATTGTAGAGGTAATTTAGTAATATACAAATAATCTATACTAATCTATACCTATATATTAAAGTTGTCCCTAATTCTCAATTTATTGCCAAGTCAGAAATTTTACTGTTTATTTAAATGCCAAATCACAAAATAATTGCCACATCACCTTAATTAGTTGGCTACTTTATTGCCATATAAGCTTTGTTAATTAGCTATCTTATTATAACATCAAATTAAAATCCAATTAAATTAATATATTATCTCCTAAAAAGCAAAAAAAAAATAATAATAAAAAAGGTCCAAACCTGTGGCTATCGACACATATGCCGACACTCGCAGTGGCCTGACTATAATGAAAAGAGAAAAAGAATGTAAAAATTCTCTACTTTGCTAATGTAATGAGAAAAAATCATTCCATTTTTTGAGAAAAAAATCATTCGGGCAAAAGAGAAAGCCTAAAAAAAAAACAACCTTAATTTTTAATCCACATCAATTCAACCTCAATTAAACACAAATTCAAACTCAATCTAACATAATTAGCAAATGAGAACCAATAATTACCTTTTTTTTTAATTTTTGTAATTTTATGTTAAACCTTAAATGAGTTTGAGAACTAACTTAGGTGATGAAGGCTTCTCTCGATCATCCAACTTTTATGGCTGCATGGGTGGGTGGGATGAACTTTTAATCAAATCGCTAGTAAGGCCAAGAAAGGTAGAAAAGGAAGGCCAACAAGTTCCTTCAAATGAGGGGGAAAGTGATATTTTGGACTTTTGAAAGTTGAGTTTGTGAGTTGAGAAAGAGTATGCAAAGAACTGAGTTTGAGAAAGATGAGGCATGAAAGATAGATGATAGTGTGAAAGAGAAGAGAA